TTTACGGCGCCCTTGGATATTCTCGCATATTCGTGCCAACTCTCCATTGTTCGAGGGCATAGAATAAAACGAACACATTCTCAAGCAGGAAAGATTCGCTTTTCATTCTGGAGACTAGTTATATTTTAATACCTACGAAATACGAACGAAGTATTTTGAAAGGGGAGCTGAAATTTCGTCGACCCAGAGGTCGTTGATGCTGGAAGGAAGGAAATTGATCGCGGACTGCTGAAAAGCTGCTGGGTTGCGCTGTATGGGTTTCTCGTCGTTCTTCTCGTCAACCGCGAACCCAGCGCCGTTTGTTGACTCGTCCCAACCCAGGCGTAGATCCACGTTTCCGCCGAGATTTTATTTTACTTTTCTCCCGGAGATGGGAATCGACGTTGGGTTTATTCGGAAGTTCCGCTGTGGGAGCTGAGTTATTTTAATCCCACGTACAATAAAGATATGTATCTTTTTTCGTATATATATTTATGTATACATCGATGCCGGTTTCTCTTTTAATTTTTTTCTTTTGCTTGCCCCCGACCGAAAGAGCTTTCTTGGATCCACCTGGAATAATCCTCACAAATAATCCATTTGTCGAGTTATTCTCTGGACTATTGCTTTTCTTCCAACTACAGCGAAAATATAATTGTAAATTCATGTGAGTTCAAGATCATGACTCATCCCTTTCTATTCCGTTTTTCATTTTTATCGCTGTTCCCCTTTTACGATATGTACAATTTTTTTCGCCAACAGGAACATGCGCTTGATCAATTACTGAATTTAAAACTTCGTGTATTTCTTCATGAAGATCTCGTGTTTCGCGATTGCCACTTCGTCTCGAATAATGCTAATAAATCATTCATTCGTCAGGTTTCTCTTATTCGGGCTCTTGTTTCTTTTTTCATTGGTCAAAGCGAGATTTAGGAGTAGCCATACAAATATGGTTGGAAAGTGGGTGATTAGGGATTTTATTTGCGCCAAGTGTGCAATAGATCTTCCAGATGTTTTTAAAGAAAAAGCAAGTACAGTATCTGAAAAGCAAGTGATCATACCATAAGAGCAGATGCAGAAACATGTTTCATGTAATGCTTTAAATCAATCAAACTACTGAAGGAATATTTTTAAATCGAATTTATGCTTTGGTTACCTAATCAAAGGTCAAAATGACCTGATCATACATTTTTAGACTCCGTTGTGGTGCTTCTGATTTATTTCAATAACACCACTTTTACAACAATATTTTATGAATTCCGGATAAGGCGATTATTTTATTTGATATTCATGAAAATACTGTGAATTCAAGATTTTAAAGACATAATCGTCTACGGATATGTCGTGATTATACTGTACTTGTAACATGCTCGAATCGTGAGAATTTGCGAATAAAACTCTTCAGTTTCCAATTATTCATATGCGCAATGTTCATCTGATCATCTCAGACATGTTCAAAATCCTTCATAGCTTTGTTTGAAGGTTTCATATTAATATATGAAACCTCGAAGTTGGGAAATTACGCATCTATTAATTATTTTTTAATTAATGAATTGTAATCTTCCAGCGTTGGTTGGGATCTTCTGAAAAATAATGCATGATTACGAGGTTGATTTGTTAACAATGTTATAAGGGGAACTGAAGGCGTTTGTTTCGCATTTAAAGTCCACTGTCAATGGAGAATCTACGATCATTTCGGCGCTTACGAGTCTGCAAGCCTACCGCCAACATTGACATAATCGAGTTTAAAGAGCCAGAAGAACCCGGGTTTCCGATTTCAAGTGCGGACGCTCCGTCTCATCCTCTCGGAGATCTTGCCGAATATCCCTCGGTGTAATCTCGCAGGTTCTATTTCCATCGAAGAAAAGTTTTCTCTCCTGTCGTGCTTCCTGGTAAGCAAACATTTCCCGCAGCTTCATCAAGCCGGTTTGTTGGCAAAAGAGAACAGCAAGTCTTATATTCGCTCTCGCGAGGAAAAGGGGGAGCTGCTGCGAGAAGACGACGACGAGAGGGGAAGTAAATCTTCGCCCGAGAGGTGTAACCTGCTTGACTTGCCAAAAAAAAAAAAGAAGCGACGAACAAATATTAAAATGAGAAATTTATGAAAGAGACTGAGCTGTTATTCCTTTCCATAATTTTCTCTCATGTAGCAGGGTTGAGGTTTCTGGTTCCCCCCTCGTACTTTCTTCCTTTCAGCACATGGGCTGACGTTTGGAAAAGCAGGAATATAAATCCGGCCGCTGCTTCGGATACATTTGCGTTCGCGTATATATTAGTTCTTTTTCTTTCATTGCAGTGTACTTTTCCTGCTTAATTAAGCTCGAGTGTAGTCTCGAGAAACTTTTCGAGTTTGCTCGAGCAATTAATTCCTTCGCTTGCGATGTTGACGGAAAAACCAGAACTCTGATTTCTCTCCTAAATCATATTTTCATTTTGCTCGAATTAATACTTCAACAGCCTAAAATGCCGAAGCATGGATATGGAATTTAAAAATCCCCGGAATGATGACAAGAGCGACTTTTTAAAAAATTGAATTCATTACATAATCCTGAATCTCGTCGAACGTGAAAATGATTTTCACACACACTGCAAATAAGCTCTTCCCAAAATTTGCCGGGTTATTTTGAAAAATTCAGTAATGAAGGAAGCATCTTGATGAATACCTTTTCCTAGCATAAATTAATCTTTTGTAAATTTTCATAAAACATATATAGGTGTTGCTGATTCATGAGCAAGAAAGCGAAGAATAATTCAGCAGAATATCAACATAAGATTTGAGAATGAAAAAAATCTGCTAATGAAATGATAACAAGCTGCTGGTATTCAAGATCTCAGAGTAGCCAATAAAGAGCTTAGACACAGATAATTTTAGCACTTCCTCACGTACTGTTCCCAATATAAATGAAATCATGATACTAACTCCACATTTGTCAAGGACGGTGCAATTACATTGCTCGGGTGTTGATCGTCATTAAAAAAATATCGGATTTTATTGCATTAATTTTCTTCCTCGAGGTTCAGAAAATATTCAGAATGAATGACTGATGATATCGGAATATTCTATGAAATGCAAATCATGCAAGTATTTTTTCCGGAAGAAAAGGATCAATGTTTCGAAAAAAACTGAAGTCCTCTCTACCCAAAAAAAAAAAAAAAAAAACTTAGCGCGAACAATCGAGCGGAAGTGTTTCCGACCACTGATTTTGACTGCTTCCCAATGCCCCCCGTCAAGGCACAATTTTTTTTCTTTAAAACAGAAGATATTTGCGTGTCTTTCATGTTTCTATTTAATGCGGCATTGTCAGATTTCATGTTGAATATCGCGTCATTCCAGGCGCATCCATGGAAGCCACGGANTTTCCGATTTCAAGTGCGGACGCTCCGTCTCATCCTCTCGGAGATCTTGCCGAATATCCCTCGGTGTAATCTCGCAGGTTCTATTTCCATCGAAGAAAAGTTTTCTCTCCTGTCGTGCTTCCTGGTAAGCAAACATTTCCCGCAGCTTCATCAAGCCGGTTTGTTGGCAAAAGAGAACAGCAAGTCTTATATTCGCTCTCGCGAGGAAAAGGGGGAGCTGCTGCGAGAAGACGACGACGAGAGGGGAAGTAAATCTTCGCCCGAGAGGTGTAACCTGCTTGACTTGCCAAAAAAAAAAAAGAAGCGACGAACAAATATTAAAATGAGAAATTTATGAAAGAGACTGAGCTGTTATTCCTTTCCATAATTTTCTCTCATGTAGCAGGGTTGAGGTTTCTGGTTCCCCCCTCGTACTTTCTTCCTTTCAGCACATGGGCTGACGTTTGGAAAAGCAGGAATATAAATCCGGCCGCTGCTTCGGATACATTTGCGTTCGCGTATATATTAGTTCTTTTTCTTTCATTGCAGTGTACTTTTCCTGCTTAATTAAGCTCGAGTGTAGTCTCGAGAAACTTTTCGAGTTTGCTCGAGCAATTAATTCCTTCGCTTGCGATGTTGACGGAAAAACCAGAACTCTGATTTCTCTCCTAAATCATATTTTCATTTTGCTCGAATTAATACTTCAACAGCCTAAAATGCCGAAGGTTGGATATAGATTTTAAATATATCCGGAATGATGACAAGAGGAACACTTAAAAAATTAAATTCATTACGTAATCCTGAATCTCGTCGAACGTGAAAATTATTTTCACACACTCTGCAAAGCTCTTCCCAAAATTGGCCGGGTTATTTTGAAAAATTCAGTAATGAATGAAACATCTTGATGAATACCTTTTCCTAGCATAAATTAATGTTTTTTAAATTTTCATAAAACATATATAGGTGCTGCTGATTCATGAGCAAGAAAGCGAAGAAGCATTCAGAAGGATATCAACATGAGATTTAAGAATGACAAAAAATCTGCTAATGAAATGATAACAAGCTGCTGGTATTCAAGATCTCAGAGTAGCCAATAAAGAGCTTAGACACAGATAATTTTAGCACTTCTTCACGTACTGTTCCCAATAGAAATTAAATCATGATACTAACTCCACATTTGTCAAGGACGGTGCAATTACATTGCTCGGGTGTTGATCGTCATTAAAAAAATATCGAATTTGTATTGCATTAATTTTCTTTCTCGAGGTTCAGAAAATATTCAGAATGAATGACTAATAATATCAGAATATTTTATGAAATGCAAATCATGCAAGTATTTTTTCCGGAAGAAAAGGATCGATGTTTCAAAAAGAACTGAAGTCCTCTCTACCCAAAAAAAAAAAAAAAAACTTAGCGCGAACAATCGAGCGGAAGTGTTTCCGACCACTGATTTTGACTGCTTCCCAATGCCCCCCGTCAAGGCACAATTTTTTTTCTTTAAAACAGAAGATATTTGCGTGTCTTTCATGTTTCTATTTAATGCGGCATTGTCAGATTTCATGTTGAATATCGCGTCATTCCAGGCGCATCCATGGAAGCCACGGAACCCCAGGTTTCGAACCCTGCATTCATTTTGCTCGCTGCTGCGGCTCCACTTGTCCTGATATTTGCCGCTGGAACTGCTGTGTGGTGCTTGTGTCGTCGTAAATCGACGGGTGTGGAAATCGACCCGGAAAATTCCGAAGGTGTCAAGGGCAACATCAGGCGTCTGAGTGTCACAGCACACGGGCATAATGACCCTGCTTCCGAGCAGTTCCAGCCCTTCTTGACCAGGTGAATCCTTTTGTTCTGAAAGACATTTTTTTAATGCAACGGATACATGTACAACTTCGTGTTCTGAACTGAATTTCAGAGTTATAAGATTCGTGATGTATTCAGCCTTCATTGGAATGAAGTTCAGATGCACTCTTACAGTAAATGGTTCTTCTGAAATAATGATAATAATAAGACGGACTTTGAAGCACCGGGGTTCAGAAATAAATTTTTTTTATTTAAAATATATGTATTGCTACTTCGACATTCAAAATGACCAATTGTTGATCGGAGGATGAGCGCCCCAATCAATAGAACATATTTGTTTTAATTTTCAAAATGCAGCTGCTTCGACACTCGAAACATAGCCAATTGTTTGTCTGCGAGCTGGTTCAATAATGTCCACACTTTTTTTTAATTGAATAGCAGAAAAAATACAAACAATGGTTGTATGACGTCAATCATAGTACACGATGGACAACATAAAAAAAGGATTTTTCGAAAACGTATTCAAAATTTTTGTATGTCGGAAATTTAAGGATCCTCCGAAAATTGAAATATTTTCCCCTTTTTTCACGTCGGATCGTTGCCCTTGTCAAATTTCCAGAAACCTGTCCAATGAGAGTCAACAAATAGCGATGGAGTATCACCAGCAAAACAACCAGTGCAGTGTCGCGGGTCGACAGGGTTTCGATCGGGACTCAGTGTCGTCTGACACGTCAGTTCATTCCAGTAATGGAGGTCGTCGACAGCAGCAACAGCAACCTCACGGCAACGGCATCGACAATTCCGTCGGTCCTGTATGTCCTGTCGCTACCACATCCGGTGTGAAAATTTCAAAATCCGGCAGAGGTTTGAACTTCAAAAGTTTGATTTGGGGGGGGGGGCGGAACTCAAAAAGATTATTGAAGCAACAGACGACAAATATTCTCATGAACCCCTGCTGGCGAATGCTTGAGGCGGAGATTAAGGTCTCAGTTTAAAAGTAGGGATGTAAGAACTATCTTCGATGGATGCAATGTCATCCAGATTCTTAGCCAGAATTAACTTTTTTTTAGAGATTCGGTAAAAAAATTCTGCCTTACTTTGATCCAATCATTATATTTTTATTTGAATTCACTGCTTGTGGCTTCCTTTCCGTCAGTTTTCGTCATTTAAAAAATAAATTATTCTCAGTCGGATGGAAAGTCAGCCCTGAGTAAAAATTCTACCAAGAATCAGCGGCATAATGATTTCGAGGTCGGGAAAAATCTAGGAAGCCAGAAAGTGAAGTTTACTGTTCATTTTCTCTTAAACGTGTTGGTTTTATGCGAGTAAAGTTCAAAAGATATTCTCTATTTAATAATGTATGCATAAGTATAGCTGTCGAACAGAAGGAAGAAAGCTACATTTTTTGCAATGATTTTGTTGATGTAAATTTATACTTATGAAGATTTTCACTGGAATGATTCTCAATTTTCCGGGAATCAAAAAAAACGGAAATATAACATTTCTTGATAATGATGTAATTTCAAATGGAATATGCGTCATGGAATATGCGAATGAAGTTTTTATTCACATACTCAAGTTTCTGACACATTAGAGAGTAATCAGAGGAATGTGTACTTGAATGCTAACATTTGAAATTACATCATTATCAAGAAATGTTATATTTCCGTTTTTTTTTAAACGTAGGCCAATCTTCGCTTTCCACAGCAAAGCATCCTATTCAATAATAATTGAAAATAATCTAAAATTATTTCGAAAAGCCAGCTTCGAAACATGACAAATGAACACGAAAAAGTACCGTGTTTGAACCGCGATGCAATTGAAGATCACGAATTTTTGCTGAAATTTCATAAATAAGCAAACCGTCTCTGAAAAAAAAAATAAAATCTCCAGAACCGAAATGCAAATATTTTTCGATTTTCCAACAACAGCATTTTCGGATTAATCAAGCCACGCGAAAAGTCGCCTCGATTCGGAAAAGTACCAGAAAAAAAAGGCGCCAGAAAGAAAATGAAAAGCCCTGAAGACCAGTTATTATCCAAGGTCATCAAGCACACGCGAAAAAAGCATCAGGTCGACCCGCTGCGTCGTCGTTCTCCAATAATGACGCCTGGAAGGCGTCGGAGAGAAAAACTATTTGCGGGCGTTTTTCGACTTCGTTTAAATCACTGGGAAGCCGTTATATAGGACGGTTTGCCCAGCGGGAACTGGTCGTGAAAGTCAACAGTGGCTTTGATTTACGAACATGAAGAATCGTACTCCAACTTTCGAATAAAATCGGCGACTTCACTCGGTCCAATTTTCTTTTGACAAATCTTCTGTTTTTCATTCCAGTTCTTTGCATCCGTTGCACGCTATTGAAAAGAAAAAAAACATCCCGAAGCAGACCCGTTGAAACGCAATACATAATAAATTGAGGATATCATTTTTTAAGATTTCAAATGCGAGCGTGATTTTTTAAAATGCTTCCTGCTGAGGAAGGAGTTATGGATTGAATTATGATTCAGGACTCCGCTTTCGTGTTTTGCTAATAGGACCTTCACGGGACCCGAGAGATGGAATTTCATGAGAGCCGATGAAAATTGAAGTCAAGGAGAGCCTGCTTTCAGAAGAAAAGAAGAAAAATACGAAAGGTGGAAGTGAAGTGGAGAACGAGATGAAAATACTGGAAAAAAAAGTTCGAGAATGGAAACCGTCCACCCTGCAAAAAAAAAAAAAAAAAAAACCTTTTTCACGCAATTCGTGTCCCTGATTCAGCAGCAAAGAAATGTTCGATCTTCTGGGATCTTGCTTGAATTCACCTTGCTTATTGTGTTACTTGTTGTTACTACTACAGAAACCGTCTCGGTGCTGTTTTATATTAAAAGAAATTGACCAATTTTTGCACGTTCTTCTCAGTCTTTTTTGACACCATCCAGAAATTCGTGCGCTCAATTCGTTGAAACGGGAAACAGGGAAGCGAGTGTGAGGTACAATTCGTTGTTTAAAAAATACAGAATTTTTTATATTCCTGAAAGTTGTTGGAAAATCACGAAAAAAACAGATTTTAGTCCAAACATAAAACCTTTCATTCACCCCTATAAACCCCCCCCCTCCCAAACAGCTACTGTAAAATTATACTTTCCAAGAAAGAAAAATGGCATGGAATTTCATGAATTATGTTGGCAATTCGAGCTGAAAGTTTTTGAGGACAAAAAGCTGTACAATGATAAAAGAAAATACAAGGAATGTGCAAGGAAGACAGATCAATTAAATAATTACTGTATATTCAAATTAGAAAATTTATTATCACGCAGATAAACTCAATTTGGCTTCTTTTCAAATCTAAAATTGTCGTTGTACAAGAGCTTAGTGAATGAATTGGTCACGTTTTCTGTTGAACACAGCATAAGTTTGGTAAAAGCAACTCCCTCAAAATTTCTGGATCTATTTGATTATTCTATTAATAATTTTTCGAATAGCAGTTTCGCTTCGACAAGAATTAAGAAAACCTTGGATCGATGATATCAAAACGGTGCACCGGCTTTATAATACTCGGAAAATTTTTATTCAAGCGAAACATTCTTCGAAGGTGTTGAATGAAATTTACAAAGGACCTTCGACACGATTTGATGCGGGTACTGTATATTTAACGTGCTGCAATGGAAGGAAAATGTTTTTGAAACTGCGGTATAAAATACGTTATAAAATACAAGAATGCACTACGAGAAATGAAATTTTTAAGAAACAGACGATGGCAGATTCACCTGGAATAAATCACAGAAAATGGTGTGACTGATGGAAAACAAGATGAACATGTATTTCGCCATTGAAAAATGAAGTGACCCGATTATCCACTACCGAAATGATTTCCAACAAAAACAACGTTAAAAACTATTCCTCCTCTTCAACCCACGCGACAGAAAACCAGCGGATTTCTGAAATTGCTCAGAAGGCCGAAAAAGGTACTGAATTCCCTTCTTTTTTATAAGATTCGCTTCTGCCACGGGAATCTGCAGAAGGCATACTTTCAAATAGGATGCCTGAATACATTGTCTTTCAGAGGTCATCAATGCTTCATCAGCAGCAGGCCAAAGAAGTAATGCAGCTGCATACTCACACAAATGCAAATATTTTTTTTTTTCGTTTTTTGGAAAAAAACCGTCAACGTGTGCGACATCCATTAAGCACATTTTCGGATAGATGCTCGACAGAGAGACAGATGTCGCCGTAGCACATCATGTTACAGCAGGATAACGTGAAGTCCGCGAACCAATCAACTTTCGGGTTTAAAAAAATGCATCGAGGTGCTGAAAAGTAGCCCGAAGGCAGCAGTTAACAACACGGTTCTGTTGATGAATAAAGAAATCATCATCGATGCTCTACTTGCTCAGTGAGGCGCTGCTGTTTCCCATGGTTATCAAAAGGGGTAATCATCACAAACGCTGTTTCAACTAGCTCAAAAAACGCAAGAATTTCTGAAAAAAAGAGCAAAGAAAGCGTGTCTAAAATTTGTAAAATGTGACCAAATTTTGATTTGGAAATATAAAAAAAAATGCCCAACCTATCTAGAAATAAATGAAGTGAAATGAAACGAAAATGGGTGCGTTTGAAATTGGGCAGTTAATGCGTTCTTCAACCATCGCGCTTAATTTATGGTCACACTTGAAAATTTTACATTTTTAAATTATTTTTTTAATCTTAGATAGTCGATCATAGTTCCAAAATACGGTACAATCATTCTTCCAATGAGTCTGCGTCGGAAGAAAACTTTATACGATATTTATATTATTTTCAACAATTGCGAAATGGTTCCTTAAAAAAACCATAGATTCAAATTCAAATAAAACGTCAACCAACCGAGAATATAAATTCGTTCTTGAATCATTCATCGGAATACCAAACATTGAAATAAATAGAATTGAAAATTTATTGGGAAATTGAAAATTTATTGGGAATTGTCGCATGAAGGTATTCAGAGAATGTCACGCGTATTCTTAAAAGCAGAAGCCGAACAGTAATATTGTGCACGAATACTACAGTATTGTGTTAGTGATACATTAATTAAAATGAATAATGCCTCCCTTAATTGACCTTTCTTCCTTTTTAAAGAAACTTCTTTTACACTGATTCATGAGTGCCGATCTTTAAAATGATCAATCCAGAACTACGAAAGCCCGTTTATTGTTTAACGTCCAATAGAATAAAAGTCAATGTCTGAGCAAAATGTTACATGAAATACTATGCCTATATATCTGGCATAAACCAAGGAATGTTCTTGAGAGTCTATGTAATCAGATGTAATTAAACTCATTTGAACGGTGGTATTTTTTTTTTACTGTTACCATATACCTTGTCAACGCTACAACCCCAAACCATTTCTTCCTAAAACAAACGTACAGTATATAAAATATCTCAGGCCTTTTAATGTTTTTTTTTTTAACCAACAGAACTATATTCCAGGACCTCTAATCCACCCGAATCACCAGAAAACCAGCCTAATTCACCCATGAGAAATCCTCAGAAGCACGTGGAAACATTTCGACAAATCACTGCGGAAAAGTTTTAAAAACTAAAAGCTGGAGCACATATTTGAGACTGCCACTGTCATCTGTCCACTCTGACGCCCGAATCGAGTGCAACAGACAACAGAACAGAACACGTAGGTACAGTTATACTCAGAGTACCGTAATTAAAATAAGAAAAAGGGCACGTAAAGTATATAATAACGGTTTTCATTCGCAGATGCTGGGACGTGCCTCATCGTCCACCAGCAAGACTCGCTAAAATGTGACCTGATGCCGCGCACCAGAAAAATGGGTTCACAATATTTCTTTGCATGATGAGGGAATGTGAACTGTTTCCTTACGCAAACAAAAGTTTAATTTTTAGAATATCTAAGAATATAACTTTAGAAATTTTTTGCGCTCCCAAAACTTTTGTGTACACATAGAAACAAATATTTAGATATTTCCCAACTTAGGCTAAATTGGCCAATAATTTGTTTTACATTTACAAATATAAATTTAAAACAAATCATTTCATATACATCCGATTCACAATATTTTTTTTAAATAATGCTTTGAGAAATTTCTGCAAAAATATCCTGGCACTGGCACCAAGGGGTTCATCAAAATAATAGCTGAGTGGATGAAAAATCTTCCATCGATTCTTCTCAGTACATTCTTTCTGCAACACACATGATGAAATAATCAATCATGTCTGGCAAAAATGTTGCGAATACACTACATGACTACAGTGCAGCAAAAATATTCCCTTGATTCCGCGGAACTTCTGAAAAAATATCCCTCGGGACAGGTGATCCTGCGGTTATCCACGGAATTTCAAAAAAAAAGTTGAAAGATTTTGCGAATTTGTTTTGGAAGAAGTCTTTTGAGTAGATGATGTGAAATAATCAGTCAGGTCTGGAAATAATGCTACACTCTACAACAAAAATACACGTTCGATTTCGCGGGAGTTAAAATATATTTTTTTTTTTGAGAAATAAATTCAAATTTTGTTCATCAGCTGTTTGAAAACGTGAGATTTATAGGGATACTCAAGTTGATCGACGCTTCGCATTACAGATTTTTTGCACACCGGAGGACTCGCGGTGTCTTGCAATTTTTGTCTTGTTAAAAAAATCCGTGTGGGATCAACGGTCCTTCTTTAAAAAATGGAGTTGAAGTGGAAATTATTGGAGCCAAACGCAATTTTCAAGGTAGATTTTTAAATCATGAAAACCTGTATCACATTCTTGATTGTGCTAATTGAACACTGCCTGATTTTTACTTCCCCTGGATGTACCCTATTTATTGTTTTGGATAGCGCCCCCAACTATAGATGCCTTCCCTTCAAAATAAACCCAAGTTGTATTGTCAAATTTATGAACCAATTTTATTTTAAGTGCATTACGTTGCCGAACTCGTAATCGAAAATCTGAATTTACTTCGGTGTTCTAGCTATGGAATTTATCCAGCCACTTCCCGAATTAATCTCTATATATGACTAATATGAGTATAGGCAGCTTTTTGTTTAAAAGGAGGCCGTTGAACCACTGCTCAGTCCCTTGAAGGAAATTCCTTTTCTCAAACGTGATGTGTGCCAAGAAGTCTTTCAACAATAAAATAAATAGTTAAATAAGTTTGTTACAAATATTTTCGCGTGCTTGACAGCAATTTTCTGCGGTTAAGACTGCGTGCGATTTTTTCCCATCATTAATTTTGATTACAAGACGGATTTAATTAAAAATTAACAAAAGTAAAATCAT